AAGGTATGTGGGACTCCTCGCTGCTCAATACAGCCAGCCCTTAGGCCGGGTGATATGAGCAGGGCCCTACCTAAGGGGCCGTTCAAGTATTACGTAAGCAGATTTATTACAATTATTTACCCCCTCCTCCCCCTTGTCAGCAAAAGTAAGCAAAGCTCTTACCCCTCCCCCCCATCCTTACGTAAACATTGGTACCTATTTTTCCTTTAATGTATTCTGTTTTTTTTATTGATTCATGAGCTTTCATGAGCTTCATGACCAGCAGTACTTGAAAAGGCTTAATCGATGATGCTGACGTAATCACCATCTCTACCCCCCCCCCCCCAAGTCATCAAAAATAAGCAAAGCAGAGTCCCCCCTGCCCCCCTATAGTGCTTACGTAATACTTAAACAGTCCCTAACGCCCCGAAACAGGGTCACTAAAAACCAGACAATACTCCTGCACCGGTCACCCGGCGTACATTCTGAGGACCGTAGTCCCCCCAAAGCTCGCCATCGCCGACTGTCCGCGCATTATATATTTTTTTATATATATGTTTAAATAAAACTAGTTTTTCACGGGTTAATGCACGAAACGTCAATAAATAAATAAAGTTTCGTGCATTAACCCGTGAAAAACTAGTTTTATTTATATGTTTAATTAGAATACATAGATTTGATGTAGATTGAATGTATGAATGTGACTATTTATTCCAAGCCATATAACACCCCAACCTATGGTCTCTGTATAACTTTTTATACTCAGTGGTTGTCTGGAAGAATAAGACCGCCAATTATAATGCTTTTGTTAATTTTATTGTTGTGAATGTTATGTTAGAATGTATTTGGTGTTATAATAAAGTTCTAATCTGTCTATCTATATTATTGCTCAATCTTACTTAATTATATTTTTGCTACAGACCGTTGAATAGATGTGTCCGGAAGTGTACTTAGTTGTTTTCGGTTGCTAATTTTGCCCATTTTATTCCAGTATTATTTCCTAGACAGGTAGATAAATATATATGGTATGCATATAAAATAATACAACAGTTGTTAAGTAAATCAATATAATGTACTTCTCATGGAATTCAGGTGTATAATTACATTGTACTAAAAAGGTACAACAATTATAATTATTTAAAAAAAAAAACAATTCAAAATGCATTTGGCTCTCATTCACAATAAAATGATACTTGGAATGCGACGATAGATTACAGTCAGATCCGAAAACATAAGTTATATTAACATTATACTACCATTAAAATAATCGCAAACATAATAGGGGTGATGACGGGGTACAGTAAACGAAATTCTATTTAGTCCGTCAGTTAGATGATCAAAAAATAATGGACACGTATTTTTTCTTTGGGCAATCAACCAAAAAATAACAAAGTTATAGCGCGTCAAAGTTTGGGAGTAGGGGCTCGTGACGTCACTTTTGAGTGATTTTTCCCTTATAAGTGTACTCAAACGTGACGTCATGCGACTTTTCAAATCAATATATCTCTGCAATGCTTATATTATGTGAAAAAAGAAAAAATACGTGTCCAATATTTTTGATAATTTACCCGATAAACAAAGAAAAAAAAATTAGTCATCATCCCTATTATAATACATATTTAAATGATCTACAAAAATTTGTAATTGATCCCAAAAAAAATATTGGTTACCCAACCTAACCTTCACGATACCAATTGTATTGTTAGGTAATCATTTATTATTATTCTTTTGAGGCTCATTTAAATATTACCTCTTTAAGTATTATCAAAAAATGCTGACGGATATTCTCAGATCTATTTATTCGATGGACAATTTTAACCTGGCAAGAAATGGTGTAAAAAGATTTAGCTATGATAACGAACAGGTATCATAATTTTGACATGTCATTAATTCATACAGCGCGTAAGCAAAGGGTGCTTGCTAACATTAACAAAAAGGAAACTATATAAGGCTCGGCTTTTCCTGACTTTTTTTTAACTGTTTAAAGTGAAACTTCTTTAAGCACGCTTGACTTGCGGAATAACCTGGCGAGCGCGTTACGAAAAGTGTGATCGGGCGAGGCGAACGGGAGTTGAGTGGGGGATATAAGCAAGAGAAAGCAATGCGCGCGCACATTTTCTTTCTCTCTTTCTCTTATAGCTAGTAAATGAAATATGTATATGTACATACATGTATATATTATACACACACACACACACATTTATATACATACAGATGGAGTTAAAGAAGTTTCACTTCAGTCGTTTCGTTATAAGCACACTCATTTTTTTTTTCTTTGAAACCGCCGCATGACGTCTCTTTGCACCGTACACAAGACGTCAGTGAAAAAAGACTGCAAACTAATTCATTTAGGTAAAACTGGAATTCTTAAATACTAAATAAACAACATTCGTTACGCGATATCATCATCGTGTCCTGATAAAAAGACACAGTTAAATAACATTTATTTTATTTTAGATATTTAGTAGATAACTCATTAAATTGCTATATATTTATCAGAACGCGTTGATGTTCACTCTACAACACACACACTCATAGTCGAAACCAGCACGACTACATATTATTTTCATTATTTCTGTAAAATTTTATTGTAAGCACTTAAAATAACACTTATATAATACAGGAAAGACTTATGGTGTAAATAAATTGATTTAAGGCACACCAGTTTCAAATACACTCGGCGTCAAAAAAATCGCACCTCTGTGCCACTAGCTTATGAAAAGAAGAGATTTTCGTTCTATTAATCTGTTTAGAATAAGAATAGTTTTTTTTTATACATAGGTCTGACAAATTACTCCACCCCACCTGATGTTAAGTGAAGTGATGATAGCCTCTATGTGACTAAGGACTGTCGGTAAACAGAAATTAACATTAATTCACATGAGATGTAAATTCAAACCTCGCGCATGCAAAGAAGAACAGCGAAAAATTAGACGTCCTACATTTTTTGTTCAAAACAATTAGTGATTGCTACTGAAATTAATGTCGTAGCAGCACTCTTCATAATTGATCAATAAGGAGCTCGATAGTGCAGGTGGTTAGTGCGTTCGGCTGCGATCGTTGTAGTTAAGCAACTTTCGCAGTGGTCGGTCATTGGATAGGTGACCAAAAATTTCTATATCGAGTTCCTCCGTGCTTCGGAAGGCACGTTAAGCCGTTGGTCCCGGTTGCATCTGCAATCGTTAGCACCCGCCAATCCGCACTGGGCCCGCGTGGTGGGTCATGGCCCAATCATTCTATTCCATCCATAGGGAAAGCCTGTGCCCCAGCAGTGCGGACATAAAGAGGCTGATGATGAAGGAGGCATAATATCTTTCCTTTTGCTCCAGAAAAGTGTCAATGAGACATAACATATCTCTTTTGAAAGAGGCGACAACTTCGTAGATTCTTAACATATTTAGTACGCGATAAACATGAAACTAGTGTTCACTTAAACCCTTAAAAAGGAATGTTACTAATGTCTTGTCTTTTTTTAATAGGAAAAGAATGTTAAAAAACAATTACTTACACAAATATTTTTTTCTTTATTTTTCACAAGCTGATAGTTGAATAGGTATATTATTAAATTTTAATTCGGACAGGGCGCTTGATAAAAAAATATCCTTACTTTAAATTTTCTATGTATTTGCCTTTTTTAATGCATATTTTTATCACTTTCATCCTTTTTATAAAAGTACTTATTCCACTACCGACTTGTGTAACGTAAACAAAGACATTTGTATATGAAAAAAAAAACTTAAAATCTAAATCAATATTACCTTAATAAATAATTAGTAAAATCTGTGCCATGTCTAAATCAAAGCAAACATACACAAATGAATCATGTACAATCTACATGTTTCCACACACAACCACAGCACATATTCAATTCTAGATTCTATATTACAAACAATTACTAGGTACTACTACAAAATTACTGTCATCTACAATGAATTGCAAGATAATTGCATTTAAGAACAACTTCACACAGTGTGTGAAAAATTACATGCACATAACCAACAATGAATATATTAAATAAAAAGTTATTGGTCTCAATTCTGGCGTGATTCTCTAAACTTAAAACTAAATTTAAGATCAGTCTCACCTTTTCATTATGTATAGAGAAGAACAAGGATACACTGTTGTCAAATTTAGGTTTAGCTTTAGAGAAATGTATGTATTGAATTACATATCAAACATCCGTTGATAATTTATATAATGTACGTTTTCGTTTATACTAAAGCTGTCAATTTGTGCGTGTGTAGCGGCGTGCATATCTACCATAATATAATATATATAATACATATTTTTGTGCCGCGTCCGTACAGTTAATACGGCTTCTAGGTTGTGTATATTCAAAGCATACATCTTTTAAATGTCGTTCTGTAATTTGGATACGAGATAACATATACAGGGCAAGATTGTAAAAAAATAGATTTAGCAACACAGTTTTCAGTTTCTCTACCTAAGTGTAATTAATTCTAGCAGAGTGTATTTCAGTAAAGTAGATGTATTCCCGCACACATTTGACCAATGTATCGCACTGTAGTATTTTGTTGCAAAGTTTACCATAGATAATATTCTAGCTGTGTGTATTTCAGTAAAGTAGATGTATTCCCGCATACATTTCACCAATGTATCGCAGTGTAGGGTTTTATTGCATAGTGTAATATTCTAGCTGAGTGTATTTCAGTAAAGTAGATGTATTCCCGCACACATTTCACCAATGTATCGCCGTGTAGTGTTTTGTTGCATAGTGTACCATAGTGTAATATTCTAGCTGAGTGTATTTCAGTAAAGTAGATGCATTCCCGCACACATTTCACCATTGTATCGCAGTGTAGTGTTTTGTTGCATAGTGTACCATAGTGTTATATTGTAGCTGAGTGTATTTCAGTAAAGTAGATGTATTCCCGCACACATTTCACCAATGTATCGCAGTGTAGGGTTTTGTTACATAGTGTAATATTCTAGCTGAGTGTATTTTAGTAAAGTAAATGTATTCCCGCACACATTTCACCAGTGTATCGCAGTGTAGTGTTTTGTTGCATAGTGTACCATAGTATAATATTTTAGCATAGTATATTTCAGTAAAGTATAGTTATTCCCGCTTACATTTCACCAATCAGCGTCATCGGGCAAGCCCCCCGGGTAGTCGCCAGTCAAGCAGGCGGTGCAGTGCCCTCCGAGCCCGTCGGAAGGAGTGACGCGCATGTTGTAATGTACGGCGCTAACTAGACCGTCAACGCTGAGGTATTCGAGACTGTCCGCGCCTATAATAATGACAGTATTGGTTAAATATTGATTCCTGGAACAGCTAAACACTAAAATAAGTAGTTTCATCGACCATACTATGATTTCATGATTGATTCGAAAACTAATTTCATAGGGTGAGAGCATGAGGAGCGCTTAATATTGGTTGATTCAGTGATGTTATTGCTGCTTCAATACTCATGCTTGATTTTGAGAGGTTTTTGTAATGTAGGTTTATTATTATATAACACTCGCGGGATTTGACTGAAATGAAATCTGCGCATTGTTGCGCTCCCTACTAATTTCACAGCCGCCATAAGTTGCACTATAATGGAGACTATCTTCCATCTTAAAAAACTGCAGTAAATATTTCCTACACTGAAGATTTGTAAGGCTCCACGGGTTTAGATGTGGAATTAAGGTAGCAAATAATACCCTGGTTAGGTTAAGCATTTGTAGGTTATGCTGGGCTTTTACCATCAGGAGGGTTAAATGCTAGTAAGCACACGCTTTTAGATCAAAAGCAAATAATATCTTTAAGCCGTTATTTTTATTCAAGCATTTAACTTCTGAAAACGGAGAAATTAAGTTTAACAAAATCAGGTTACCAATTTAACTATAGAATGTTAAATTCTTGTTAAAGTATCTCATTTGACAGTAACCATCTACAATGTGAATTGCAGTCTAAGATATACTAGAAGTAATTCGCGTAATGGTCAGCGCTTTCTCCCAATAGGGATGATGACTTATTTTTTTTTCTTCGTTTATCAGGTAGATTATCAAAAAGTATTGGACACGTATTTTTTCTTTTTTCACATGATGTAAACATTGCAGAGATATATTGATTTGAAAAGTCGCATGACGTCACGTTTGAGTACACTTATAAGCGAAAATTCACTCAAAAGTGACGTCACGAGCCCCGTACTCCCAAACCTTGACGCGCTATAACTTTGTCATTTTTTGGTTGATTGCCCAAAGAAAAAATACGTGTGTATTATTTATTGATCATCTAACTGACGGACTAAATAGAATTTCGTTTACTGTACGCCGTCATCACCCCTATTAGCGAAGACTGATTTAATTCCAGCCTGGTACAAGCTTTTACAAAATGGGTGACCAGAATAGTCTCGAACTCCTCTATGATTCGTAAGGTTCACTAAGCCGTTGGTCTCGGCTGCATGTGCTGTCGTTGAAGCCCAACGATTCACCCTTTCAGGCCTTTCCATCCATAGGGAAGACACTCCAGCAGTGCAAATATTTCGACATTGGAATACTGTGCTTACAAGCTTTTTTTTTTCAGGAAACATGGATAAGCTAAAACGCAGTTCAGTCACAGAATGGGTGACCAAAAATTTGAATAATCTCGAACTCCTCTGTTATTTGTAAGCCGTTGGTCTCGGCTGCATCTGCTGTCGTAAGAACCCAACGATAAACCCTGGGCCAATTCCATCCATTGGGAAGGCATTCCAGCAGTCGAAACAATATTTATTTCGACACTAGTGGCCCGCCCTCGTTTCGCTTCGGTGTAGAGCTTTAGTGTAGACTAAAATGACTTCATATAATTATATAAAAAAAAACTGAAAATGGTATATTTGCTTTTTCCAAACTTTTATTGACATCACGTCACTCAATTGTTTTGCCTTCCCAGAACCTCTCCACTAACATTTGAAATTTATGGTATGGTATTAAGGTTCAAATTAACTTATATGTATTATTACGAATCGTTTGTATGGGAGTATAGAAAAGTGCTGTTTTTGGACTTTTTAAGGCATTTTTTTAAACTTTTCTCAGCGTAAGAACCATCCTCGTACTACAAGGAATATTCTAAAAAAAGAATTATCGAAATCGGTTCAGCTGTTCTCGAGATTTGCGCTTAGCAACACATTCAGTGATTCATTTTTATATTATAGATTGGAATACTGTGTATAAATATGTATGCGTTTTGTGTGACATACTGACCGACAAGCTCGGCCAGTTTGTAGGAGTCCATCTTGTTGGCGATGAGTTCTTCTCTAGTGGGAATGTTGATGCCCATATAGCACGGGTACTTGAGCGGCGGCGACGCGATACGTATGTGTACCTATAAACGAACGAATGACGTCACTCGTGAAGTCAGCAACGAAGTTAGCAACAGATCAAACAAGAAACACACTGGTTGGATTTTTTTAATGTTACCGTTTTCGAACCAACGGTATAGAAATGAAAATTATATGGATTCAAATTCAATATCGTATATTCAGTCTAGGCTGTTACAAGAACATGTGAATGTCGAAAAGCTACGCCATCGCCGTTCGCAAATCTACGGCGGGAGACCTTGTATTGAGAAGAATCGACAAGAGACTCAGCAAGGTTCCTCCCTCTTACAATCTGGGATCCTTTAAAAGAGGCGTGAAGAAGCAACATGCAGGCCGGCAGGGTGAGGATGGCTGGTGTGGCAGGAAGAACTGTTGTATCAGCTATCTTCGCGTCTGGACTTCACCTTCACTTAACATCAGGTGGGGTAGAGTCGTTTGTCGGACCTATCTATAAAAAAAAAGGCCTGTCTTTTTCTCCCTGTATTATATACAGTATCGTCAAATTTAAAAATGACTTCGCTAGCTACAGATTTATGTCTTTTTAATGTCACTTCTTTTAAAATTTAATTTTTATATGCCTATAAAATTCGAGCTATGGAAAAACCTGTTTATTGTTCGATCACCTTTTGTCTTGGAGTAAGTGGAATAGAGTATAGCTGTCTGAGGTCTGTATTACAGAATGACAACAAAGTGTTGATCTTTACTTGAGTACAGTTAGAAAGGGATATCGCTATGTGCTATAAAGCGACATCCCTTTCTAACTACCTAGGCTCAAGACTAGATCAATCACTGAAAATCTTTCTATAATACGGGCCTGAGTCGAGTGGGCCCGTTCAAGTATTACGTAAGCACTATAGGGGGGCAGGGGGGTCTTTGCTTTGCTTTTTTTTTTTTTGGTGATATGGGAAGGACGGGAAGGAAGAACTGTTAATTGGAATTAATATGTATACCAAAAATTCGAAAGAAGTTTGTTTTGTTCCTAATAGTACTTATAATATTTGTACCTTACTGTATGTTGAATACTGTGCCAATAAAGTTTGTTTATATGAATATTATATGCGTTAAATTCCTCAAACCTAATCCTTTTTAAGTACTGCTGCTCATAAAGCTCATGAAAGGGGCCGTCCATATATTACGTCATTCTAAATTAGGGGGGGGGGGGGTCTGCGGATGACGGTAAATGGTAGATAGGGGGGGGGGGGGGTTCGAAATTGACGTCATTCTTATTTATTTTTTACGTTTATTGTTCACGTACAAAAAGATTATTTCTAAAAAGATATTTCTTCCAACACACCTAGTGAGACTGCAAATGTGAGAGGCGGCTAAGGCGCGTACAATACTAAAATAACTCATAATAAACATACATAATGCAACATAGATGTACATAAATACAGAAATAACTACAGATAAAATACTGCAATGTTTTAATTTTGTCAAACTGGTAATGACGTCAATTTTGGGAGAAGGGGGGGGGGGGTCATTAAGAAATGACGATAGGATGATTGTAGGGGGGGGGGGTCTAAAATCTGAAAAAATCGATGACGTAATTTATGGATGGCCCCAAAGCTCATGATAAAAACAAAACAAAAAAAATACATTTAAGGAAAAATGCATATAGGTACCAATGTTTACGTAAGCTTGGGAGGGTGGGGGTAAAAGCTTTGCTTACTTTTGCTGACAAGGGGGAGGAAGGGGTAAATAATTGTAATAAATCTGCTTACGTAATACTTGAACGGCCCCAGTAGAAGACTGTAAGCACACTTTCTTCGTTATAAAAAGAACAAATTACTCACCTCGGCTGCGCCCGCGTCTCTCAGCAGCTTTATAATAGGTCCTATAGTGTTCCCTCTCACTATGGAGTCATCTATGAGCACTATTCTTTTTCCGATCACGTTTTCTGATAGCGCGCCGAATTTCTTGGCGACTCCCAACTGTCGTAGCCGAGTGGATGGTTGGATGAAAGTTCTACCCACGTACCGGTTCTTGCATAGAACTTCCATAAATGGTATTCCCGACTGGTGAGAAAATGAGTTATATTTTTTTTATTTGTACCTTTTAAACATAGAACCCCTTTATTAATAAACAAGGAATAAACTTAGACTATAATATTTATTTATTAAGCATGTAACTGCTTGATGTCTAAATCTAAAGAAAATATAATTAGAAAAAAAACCACGCGGATCAGGCTGCAGACGGGACTCGAACCCGCACCCGAAATGCACTGACCAATTATGCTACATTCTTAAGTTGCATTGCAGCTTAAGAATGGCTAGAAGAATTTCGACGCGGCCATCAGGGCCGCGGTAACATAATTGGTCAGTGCATTCGCCCGAATAGCGAAGGGTGCGGGTTCGAGTCCCATCTGCTGCCTGATACGCGTGGTTTTTTTTCTAATTATATTTTCTTTAGATTTAAACATCAAGCAGTTACATGTTTAAAAAATAAATATAATTACTATATTTGCTATTTCTTCTTTCAAATGTTTTGCGAAGAGATTGCGCTACATTGCAGCTTAAGAATGGCTAGAAGAATTCCAACGCGGCCATCAGGGCCGCGGTAGCATAATTGGTCAGTGCATTCGCCCGGTTAGCGAAGGGTGCGGGTTCGAGTCCCGTCTGCTACCTGGTCCGCTTTTTTTCGTAATACAATTTTCTTTAGAAAAAAAGATTTTTAATTTTCCGCTCACAAAAACTTATAAATCGGATTATGATGGCACTTCTAGATCTCGATGGGGCAATGCTGTTGCGATAATTTAAGAACTATCGCAAAGTTGATGGGTGATCAAAATTTGCTATATCGAGCTCCTCCGTGCTTCGGCACGTGAAGCCGTTGGTTCCGGCTGCATATGCAATCGGTAGCACACAACAATCTAGTTTGGACGTGATGGGACATGGCCCAATCAAAACAGTGAGTGACAGCAGTGTCACCTTTACATTCCTTATAGACTACTAGCGGCCGCACGCGACTTCGTTCATGTTAACTTTAGCTTTTTTCCGAGATGAAATGTTTCGATGCAGGTCATGAACCAAGTTGCATCCAAACCCGTTCAGTAGTTTTTGCGTGATTGAGTAACAAACAAACTTTCACTTTTATATTTTTTTTTTATATTATTAATTATCAATAGGGTATTTGACAAGTTTTAGAAAACGATCTCACGTTATTGATATTCATCATTCTGTTGTGTATTTCTGTAAAAATAACCAAATCAAAAACTCCAATTTCAAGTTGCCGCGAAAACGTTTCTGTGTGACGTCACACGACGGTTATTAAAACGTCAAACGATACAATGTTATGTCACTTTAACCGGAAGTTTACTTGCTTTTGACGTCATTTTAGGCTCTGCCAATCCCTAGCGTATTGGGTCACGTGACAATAGATAAGAAAACTATTATCTTTTTCGTGGGTTTTTAGTAAAATTATGAATATTTTTTTTTTTTAATTAAAAAACTCCTACCAATATCCATTTAAAACATATATGATAAAAATTGGCATTTTATTTTTAATACTGTCAAATACCCTATTAATAGGATGATAACGATAGACTGCTGTAAAATTTTGGTTATCAATGACACGAATAACCATATTAAGTGATGATAATACTGACGAGAATACCAAATGAGATCACATTTTTAAATAAGTATGTAGAATGAACGATAAGAAAATAAAACAACAAAGACTTTTTTTGACTTGCTATAAATGTCCTGTACCTGTCTAGCGTAACCATGCGCGGCCGCAGTTCCGGATTCCGGAACCGAAGACACAATATCCGCATCTACGGGAGACTCGCGCGCCAACATGCGACCGCACTGCATACGCGCCGAATACACCATCTGCCCTGCGCACGCAATAATAACCCTAATAGACTTTACGTATTAAGGCGATAATCGCTTGAGGTCAGTATACTTTGTCACTCTATCCGTCCGCACTGCATGCGCACCGAATACACCATCTGCCCTGCGCACGCAATAATTACCCTAATAGACTACACGCATTAAGGCGATAATCGCTTGAGATCACCATATCTCCATTATCACTCGATTCTAGAGTGGGGTAGGCAGAGAGAATAGAGCGTTGTAAATAGACACACATCTTTCACTTCATACACATTCATTACCTTTTTCATACACGCTTGCTGGTTTTGCGCGGCTTCTGACATCACCTACCTTTAAAATGCGTTCAATTTGATCGTGACAGGTCTTGGCTATCCTCGGGTTCCACATCCTTCCACTATCGCGTCATATAAGATTTTATATAACTGTTTCGTCATTCAGTCATTAAACATTCTTTCCACATGTCCGAACCAACGTAGTAAATCTCCATCAAATTTAACATGGATACTGTCTTTTAAGGACACTATAATCTTACTCTGTTAAAACATCCGTCCGCACTGCACTGTATACGGGCGGAATACGCCATCTGATCTACACACGCAATAATAACCCTAATAGACTATAGTCCACTCTACATGTTGAGGCGATAATCGCTTAATCGCCATCTGCATTGCATGCGCGCGGATATCTGTCTTGTGCATGCAATATTAACCCTAATATTTTATACCATAATGTACACGTTGTGGCTATAATCGCTTGAGGACCATGTGTGATCAAGTCAACCAACATGGCTTTGATTAGGGCACTTTCAGTAGCGTTGGTCCCGGTTGCATCTATTGTAGACTTGCAACGAATATTCGGTATTCGGCCTATTCGGCTGCTTTTAATGTATTCGGCCGAATACCGAATATCTACATACTATTCGGCCGAATACCGAATACTTAAATAATATATTTTGTCGTAGAGAAATAATTGGTAAAATGGAAAATTAAAATCGATTGATTACGTATATATTCATATTTTCATTTCTGTTATATAATCATTCAAGTAGTCATTGGTACATAACACAGGAACATAATCATCTTCTGAATTGGAAAAATGGAGGATTCTATGTATTTGAATTATTGTGGTAATCAAAATTTAGAAGGGTAAGGTTCTCATTTCTTTTATAATCATTTATTAAGTAGACATTGGTACATAAAACAGGTACATAATTTAATCATTTTCTGTATTAAACAAGTTAACCGTTTTTAATTCATTCAGTCAAGTGATGAATGGTTACATAATAGCAATAATTTAAAGTTTACGCCCCGTTTTTGGCCATATTTGAGATATGGCCAAAAAGTTGGTTTTGTCATTTAGCCGCATTTTAGCTTGAGGACGGCAGATTAGAACAAAACAAAGGAGCGCGAAACAATCACGTTTGTACAAGTTTTTGGCGCTAAAATCCAGCCGAATACTTTTGCCTAATATTTGGTTATTCGGTCAGGGGCCTCGCCGAATATTCGGTATTCGGTATACTGCCGAATATACTATTCGTTGCAAGTCTTATCTATTGACGTTAGTAGCCACCGATCCACACTGCGTGGGCGTGGTGGTTCATGGCCCAAACCATCTAAAGGGAAAGCCCGTGTTCCAGCCTTGGAGACACTAATATAACGGTCATGATATTTAGGAACTGATGATGATGATGATAATGACATGAGATAACTCACCCTCAAACATGCTGTCCGCCCTCGCGAAGTAAACGTACTCGAATATGCAGAAGGCCTGCTGCTTGCCGGCCGGCCGCTCCACTACGGCCACAGTGCGGATGCCGCGTCGAGACATCTCCACTATTTCGCCGGGTAATACCTCGCGAACGTAGCGCGCGCCTACGAACCAATACATAAGTTTTTTTCTTTATAGATAGGTCCGACAAATGACTTCACCCCACCTGATGTTAAGTGACGGTGAAGTCCAGACGTGTAGATAGCTTATAAAGCAGTTCTACCTAAGAATGTTGCTTCTTCACGCCTCTTTTAAAGGATCCCAGGTTGTAAGAGGGAGGGAACACGTGAGCGGGCAGAGCATTCCATTTACGGATAGTGCCACAAAGAAATGAGTCACCAAACTTCTTTGTACACGTTGGAATTATGGCCACAGTTAGTCGGTGGCAACGTAGGCCAGCGCGCGTGGTCCTCTGAAGGAAAGGGGAAGGTGGAATAAGAGAGAATAACTCCTCAGAACACCCGCCGTGGTACAGACATAAGATATATGTTTGCTATCTAATTCGACTAAAAGTGCGACTGGATTGGCAAAAACAAATCTTCCGAACGCATTTTGAAGAATTTCAGAAGCTACTTGTAGAATTCAAGTGTTTTTTTTTACAACAACCAAATAATAGTAATTTATGTGCTTAAACTCACCTATAGAGAGGAATCCACAGGACTCTGAGGAGACCACCCAGCCCTCCGCCTTGTCGTCGATGCCGTTCTTCGCACAGCCATTCATAAGGACTGCAATACAATCGCAATCATATTACAATCACATAATGTGGTATCGTAAAACCGCCACCGAAAAGGAAAATAAGAGGAAACAACAATGTTTGTGTCTAAACTGCAACATTTATTTTATAATTTGATAGCGTACCACGAATTAGAAATAATATGGAATACGAACTGCGATCAAGTGGGCGGGGCGACAAAAGTACGATCAATACGCCGATCATGTGTGTTGTTAGCATTTCTGTTTAACATTTTCTTGCCCAACAATTGGATAGCCAAGTTCATTGGCAGATATTTGAGTTGACAAATTATTTTGTGCGTGTCGTGTTAGTATCAATGTTCAGTTGTTTGGGATCCTATTTTAGCAGCCTTTGTTAGGAAGTAATACTTCCATATCATTTCTAATTCGATGTAATCTACACAGGAAATATTTTTTTTGTTAGAAGAGTAACATGAAATGTTAAAAAGCAAGTACAGGTAGTAGAATATCAGTTTAGCCAAAACTGTAAAAACAAGCTTCATGTGTAGGAAATAAAAGTGTAGTATATACAACTTATATATATGTATATATATATATATATATATATATATATATAGTAGTAGAGTATATTTGAAATTCTTTAGTTATCTATAGCAATGTGTTTCTAGAAAAGTCTTAGAATTATTGGTTATTTTTTTAATTTTTACAGCTTTGGTAGACGTCGATGTATTATTTACTAGGCTATTTGTTTCTTAGGTTTTCACGCACATCACTCATTAAATAAAAGAAGTTTCAACGTGTTAGATGCACTGATTTTATTAGTTTAATGACGTTTCGAATCCTTTGCATGCATTCTTGCATCGTCTGAATTATGATTGTTTGCATTCCTGCAAAGTATGCGAAACGTCAATAAACAAATAAAATCAGTGCATCTAACCCGCTGAAACTTGTTTTACTAGGATTTTGAATTTGACAGTATGAAAACAAAAGGACCATCGGCATGTTTATTAAACATAAATATTGGATTTTACTATACTGACAAAAAAAATGATAATATTACTTAAAATCATGAAATCGAAAAGTATCTATGGTCTTTTGTAATACATACATACGCAACAGAATTATAAATATCGATATTTTATGAAGTCACTTTACACTAATAAATAACGTATGTTTTTTTTTATCTTGTCAAATAGCCTATTAAAAACTGTGTTTATTAATAAAATTATAGTAACGTAGCAAAGAATTTTATGTTATTAGTTGCATTACAAATGCTATTGAAAACATGCTGTTGAGATCAATTACATAAATAAAGAAAAAATATATAATAAATATGCTTAGATAAAATAAAAAGGGAAGATACACTCGCGTGTCAAAAGTGATCCGCTAAAATTGTGATACATGACCACAATTCGCTTTAGTCACAATTGGACATCCAAACACGATGATATAACAATATTGCGTACATTATGTTATAAAGATAAAACAATGTCCTCGACGCTTTTATAAAGAACATAAATAATTGAAAATCAAATAACAATTGCCACGGCAACACTTTTCATTCGTAAACTATATATAAAATACTGATTCGCCATTTTTTACCAAGAAAAGAACAACAATACAACTCAGCCTTCTATAGAGAGAGAAAAGAACACGCACTCGGCTGCAGGGCGACGCGGACTCAAGCCGTTTCGCTCGCGCTGCGCTGAAGCGTACAATAGGGTATTTGACAGTATTAAAAATAAAGTGCCAATTGTTAGCTTCTGTGTTTAGAATGAATATTGGCAGGGGTTTTTACTATTTTTACAAAAAAAATACTCATAATTTTACTAAAAACCCACGGAAAAGGTAAAAGTTTTCTTATCTATTGACACGTGACCCAAAACGCTTGGGATTGGCGGAGCCTAAAATGACGTCACACCCAAGTAAAATTCCGGTTAAAGCGACATTACCTTGTATCGTTTGACGTTTTAATAACAATCGTGTGACGTCAGACACTAGTAAGACGCTATATTGTCCAGAGAAATGTTTTCGCGGCAACTTGAAATTGGAGTTTTTGATTTGGTTATTTTTACTGAAATACACAACAGAATGATGAATATCCACTTTTTACGGACTCCGTAATCATTAGTCAATACCGTGAGATCGTTTTCTAAAACTAGTCAAATACCCTATTCTGTCTCGCTCGCTCGATTGAATGTTTATTTACAGAAGTGTGCGTGTGTGAGAGTTGCTTATGTAGTTGAGTCGGTTCATATTTTATTTGATGCTAGTATGAGCGTACCGTATCTTCCCTTTTTGTTTTAATCAAAACAAATATGATGAAGATGATTCGATGATGATTCTACGATGTCTGTTAGTGTACGTTATTTACCTGTCGCCTATAACATGCTATTGTTAGTATGCCAGATTTAATATGGTAGTTGGTAGCAAAGGATGTGAATGTGAGGTGCTTTACCCGCCGCATGCTGTGATGAAGACTGTTTGTAGACATCTGAAAAACGCGTAACATGTTTAGATACACATACATTCGTACTTTGTTATCTTTCCGCTATATTAAGCGCTTATTCCACCTGACTAAATTCAGACGTCCTAGTTAGGGATCCTAAAAAAAAGGCTAATTAGAAGCTTCTGATTATACTTGACTAATTTAGTTACTGAATCAGTCAGTTACAAGCGAGCGGCGAATTCAGTCAGACTTTTTCGTAATTGCTCCAGCCCTGTTAAAGCAACAAAAAATCTGTCTTCTCGTAGGCCTGGCCGTTGGCTCAATAAAAATAAAATAAAGTAAAAAACGAAAAACGTGGGTGAAAGAATATTAGTATTATTAACGGCATATGTTTATACAATTCGATTATTTTACTCCATAACTTCTTTTTCTTTTACCGCCGACATCGAACACTCGCGTAAATCGTAATCGTTAATACAACACGTCCTTACGCAGTGACACCTGCGGTGCGACTGAAGCATCTAAACGCTATTCCACCTTCCTAAATCGCGTTCTAATTAAGAAACTAAATTATTTAGTCAGTCAGAAGTCACACTTCTTCCGATTTAGGATGCTAATTAGGATCCTTACTTCCTAAATGCTATTTCACTTGACTGAATTAGTGACTGAATGATTTAGAACGTCTGAATTTAGACAGGTGGAATAAGCGCAATACCCAGGGAAGCCTGCCACTTAACTAAATATGAACTCAAATTGAAATTAGAAATCTGTTACCAGTACCCTTAACACGAACCAATATCGAATTCGAATAGTTTGCGAGTGCGAAATGTCATTGTCAAAATTTGTATGGTAACTTGAACAGCAGCGCCACACCGGGTGTAATGAGAACTAAAAATCAGTACACTTTTGACAATGACATTTCGTACTCGCAAACGTTACGAATTCGATATTGGTTCGTGCTAAGGATACCGTTTTTGTTTGACAAAAATAGGGCGCGTGTATAGCTAGGCTTCACTTCACATAAAATATGCAGATTTAAAGCTAATTATCGAGTACGACACGTCAATAAAAATTGGGCTATAATGTCAACATTTACGTTAAGTTCATATTAATATAGTTATTTGATTGGTATGAGATGCGGCTGAATACCGAAACGTCGTTTAATGCTTGGAAGCTGCGGAGTTTTTAGATAGGGGATGTATATAATTACTCAAAAAAACTAACAATTTAAAGTCATAACCTACTGCGATTCATTCCCAGAGTATTCCATTGCCAAGTACAAACAAATTAACGACGTTTATTATAATGCGATTCAACTAAGAATAGGACCGACTGGGCGCCATATTGTGATGTCATAGCTGTCAGTTCAAACCAAATAGGTAGAGTGAGCAAAAAAAAGTTTTTATTTAATAAAACTTATTTACTAAGATTGAGAAAAAAAAACCGATTTTTAATAATATTTATTTATTAAGACTGTGAGAATAAACATAAATCAGAATCTAGCTCTTCTATTCCGCTCATCTCTGCATTATCGCCGGAGTAGTTATGAATAATCATGCACTATTACTAAGTCACATACGAACATGCATCGTTTATGTAAACGAAAGTTTTAAATCGAGTTTCTGAACGCAACTTAAAGTGACACTTGGTTGACGATGTAGGTTATCAACCTTTCATGGCCAAATCACAATAAAATCAATCGATATTAATTATCAATATTTGTTATTGTTTGTTAACAAATGTTTGGTTTTTATTCTTGAATTAGCGGAGTGCTAAAAAAGGATTCCAAGTTTTTTTTTGCAAACCGTACTTTTCAAGCGACATTTGACAGATAGAGGTCATTGGCTTTCCTATTCTTATTTGAATCGCATTATAGTATAGCAACATTTTTCCCGGCGATGATTTACGAGATGCGGTAAAACTTTTAATATAATCCAACATTATACCTTTTATAATGAACAGATTAAATAATATGGCTTGCGGTACTTAATCAACATAGTTCAAAGAAGTTCTTACCATTATTGGCGACGAGTGCAAGGAATCGTCACCTAAAAGTGGTATAATGGTATCGATTCTGGCATAAATCTTTAAAATTAAAACTAAATCTGACAACAGTGTATCCTTGTTAGACTCTATACAGAACGAAAAGGAGACTGATATTAAATTTAGTTTTAAGTTTAGAGATTAGAATCATGTCAGCACAGCATCGACACCATTGTCAACTTAAACTTTACACGACACACTACACTCGACAAACTTACTTTTCACTAATAAAAACAGCGTCTTATACTGTGTACCTTTTGAATGTTATGTCGTTCCATGCATCAAATTTCTTCATGAATTCCCTTTGGAAATGCATGCAAATGAATTTTAAATTGAAGTTAGTTCATAATACCGTAGTTTGGTTACAAAAATCTCCAGTTTAATGAAAAGCTTTCTTGTGGAAGTTAGGTTGAGTGTAAGATGTTGGGAATGGTCAATTAAGGCATTCCTGTAATTCGATACACTTTTACTGTCTGGGGCCCAATTCTCGCGGCATAGATATTATATCACCTTCGATATATATCGAATGATCTGGCTTTTATCGAAGGAAAACCTTTTTGCCCTATTCTCACCATGTCGCAATAGATATTTATCTACGGATGATCAGTAGACATACATCGACTGGTAAAGAGCCTTCGATATATAAATATCTATGGATCTTGGCATGTCAATCTTGTTATTTCCACTTTTTTTACCTATTATTTATTGTGTTGTCGTGTTGTTTTTGCCAATTATTGTTACCTCAAGATGTTGTTAACTGCCTTCATAAATAATTAGTAAATAAAGAAGTAGGTAAACAATTTATATTAACGATGGATCAGTTGATTCATGTTTTCGTCAATGATTTAATAAATGACGTGATTGCTGCTGCTGTGCTAAGGCGCCGCCGTCGTGAGAGCAAGAGGGCCCATTTGAAATGAGGGACGCCGACTTCATAAAAAAATTACGTTTAAACAAAAATTTGGTTAGAAATCTTTAAAGTTATGAATGACATTGGTATCGATTCTGACACGAGTCTCTAAACTTAAAACTAAATTTAACTTCAGTCTCTCCTTTTCATTCTGTATGGAGAATGACAAGGATACACTGTTGTCAAATTTACGTTTAGGTTTAGAGAATCATGCCAGAATCGACACCATTTTCTTATTGACGATACGGAGTTTTGGCGGGATTTCTGCGAGTGCGGTTGGCATCTTATCTTAATTATTCTAAAATTCGTTCATAGTGGATATTGTGAAATGAAATTGGTGTGATTTGGTGTTACAACCGTCTGCGCAACTGAAGAATTAGTGGAATATTTAAAATATACGCTATTCCCGTCAAGTGGACGCGAGAACTTTATTGTAGCGTTGACTACCTCACAGAAGCTTAGAGAAAAAGCCAACTCCATAAATTTCGTGCCAAACACTCCAAGAAACATTAGAATGCGTCACACCGGCATTCGAATGTAAAAAAAAGAAGATTAATATAACTAAAGACTAGGCTTTATGGGCATTGTTCCCTTTGCCTTCCCTGAAAAGGGAGAATCTTAAATAATATTGACGTTTCATTATACATAACGTTGAAATTATATACGCATACAATTTAGGTAAAGTTGAGATTTCTTATACTCACAAAATGTATACTCATATTTAATATGAATGGAATTCATAAAATATCATTTTGTTGCTTGTAAAATTCTGCTCTAATTTATTATTATTTTATATAGACTATGATGTTAACTTAATCGAGAAAAACGGAACGCATTCGGCAGTGAAAGAATATCTACGATAGATATAATATCATTGGAATATCGAAAATCCACGAGAATAGCATTTTTTACCATCAGTAGATATTTTCAATAGATATCCCTCCTTTCGATATTATCTCGAAGCCGATATAATATCTACGCCGCGAGAATTGGGCCCCTGCTTTTGAAAATAAGTATTAGATTTGCATTTAGTCATGTCTTCCATTCCCAGTCTATACTCTTATCACGAAAACAAGTGGAGAGCTTATAAAAGGGACAGGGATAAATAAGTCAGGGGGCTGCCATTGGTCGGAGTAACGACAGCAATACAAACCAGCCAATGACGAAAAGCTTAGCTACGAGTATGATCGGTAATTGCTAGTTTCCGAGAATACAGTATAGCAAGCAATTTTCCTACTGATTTAAAATAATCCAAATAGTCCTTTGAGATAATTTATCAATCCACATTCAAACTTATACATCTACAAGCGGACCGCCCTCGCTTCACTCGGTGTAGAGCTGAAGTGTAGACTACAGTTTTTGTTCTCAGGCTTGTATTATACACAATGACATTCATCTATGATTCTTCTTATACCTGCATGCAGAGTCTCAGCCTGATCGGTTTAAAATTGACAAAGTTTCATACAAACTTTCATGTCCTATTTTATCCCCTTGGGGGTAGAATTGATCAAAATCCTTTCTTAGCGGATGCCTACGTCATAACATCTACCTGCATGATAATTTTCAGCTCGATCCGTCCAGTGGTTTGGGCTGTGCGTTGATAGATCACTATGACCTTTGAGTTTTATATAGATATTGTTTTATACTTTCATGGTCACTGACATTATAGCTATTAGTGGGATTGTTACCAACCAATATACCCTGTTTTTTACGAATCTAAATTTTTTTCGCATTGTTGCAAGTGCCATGATCACGGCGTCCATTAGACTCGTACATCTATATCCTTAGCACGAATCAATATCGAATTTAAATAGTTTTATTCGATCTCGATACGAGTCAAATATCAAGACGTTTTGTATGGAAATTTAAACAGCGCCACAACGGACGTAACGATAATTTTATTAAAAAATCCTACATACAAAACTACTTGACATTCGAATTCAACTATTCGAATTCGATATTGGCTCGTGCTTTGGGTACTGACCGCGTATTTGGCGTATTATACCGTTGAATTTTTCTATCGCTGTGGGTGTAATTGCAGAAGACACATCTTTTTTTTTTGATTGAGTGATAATTTATCTATGATATATTACTAGAGGTACTCCTGCGACTTCGTCTGCGTTAACCTAGTTTCTTAAAAATCCATCTGGAACCTAACATTTTTCTAACTCCATACCAAATTTTATTAAAATCGCTCCAGCCGTTTAGACGTGAAGAAGTAACAAACATACACATTCACATACTCACAAACTTGCGCCTTTATAATATTAGTGTGATTAGTGTGATAACTATTGCCTCCCAAAATTTCGTAAAATGAATTGCAATACAGTAGACCCGCGGTTATCCGACAAACGTTTTGCAGGGCGATATCGGATTATCGAATTTGTCGGATTACAGAGTACTGTCTAAGACCAACCTCTGTAGTCCAGAATTTTATGTATAAGAGTACCTAGCAATCCGACAAATTATAAATCTAAAAAATTCTATTTCAATTTATTTTATGTGCAAATCAACAGTGATAAGCGTGTCGGATTACAGGGAGCGTCGAATTAGACGGAGCCCGGATTACTCAACTCAGCAAGGGCTGCTTTTTTCTCCCTGTTTTATTTCATACAGTGTCGTCCAATTGAAAGTTGACATCAAACTTGCAAACATGTGTTGAGGTCAACTTCCATCACATAATGTCAAATATGTAACAATAGACAGCTAAGGCTATTAAAACTAAGGCTGGGAGCCTTAGTTTTAATATAACTTTTGAAATATTATCTACGGGTAAAATTACAACCAAGCCTTTTTATCATTCAAATATTGATTGACAGTATAATATCCTTTCTTAAGTAAACAATTCTTAATGTGTATTTTAAATTTATGAGGAGGCAAATCAAGGATATCAATAGGAATCTTATTATAGAAATGTATACCTTGACCCATAAATGATTTATGAACCTTCTGTAACCTGTAATTTGGTATCTTGAGTTTATTTTTATTCCTTGTATTAAAGGAATGTATGTCACTGTGTTTGAGATAATAGTTAATATTGCTTCGAACAAAAAGTATGCAATTACAAATGAATTGTGAAGCAACAGTCAAAATCCCGATTTCTTTAAATTTTTCTGTAAGAGATGTTCTAGTACTAAGTTGATAAATAGCCCTTAAGGCTTTTTTTTGTGTTTAAAAATGTTATCATCAGTGCAAGAAATTCCAATTTGGCCGCTACATCTTCGTCTCTAATAATGTCATCATCAGGATCTATCTCGCCCCGCTTCCCACACTCAGCACCCCACGAGCTCGCTAGCAAGAAGGAGCGCATGCTCTATTTAGTAGTATTATTATGTAGTATTTTCTTATTATTTAGATTTGATCAAATAATTAGGTTCTTTGTTACCCCCGAAGTATGGCTGATTTACCCCCGGAGGGGTAATTACCCCCAAGTTCGGAACCCAGGGTCTAGAGGCAAAAGACGTGACTTTTAACATAGTTTTATAACTTGGATATGTTATATTTTTTCTGAACTTTTCACGCACACCACTTATTAAATAAAATAAGTTTCAACTGTAGATCTATAATTCAGACGAAATAAATAAATAAATCAATGTATCTATACCGTTGGTTATTTCAATTTATACTTACATGAGGACCCGAGCGGTAGAATCTTGCCGAGACACAGCGGCCGGTTGCCGTACGGGTCGCGGACTGCGTAGATCTTGTCTTTCAGCATTATCACTAACGAATAACTCAGCGGCGCAAGTCTGCATCAAAAACAACAAAACTTTTACTTCCTATAGTTTTTTATATATCTATCTTATACTAGCTGTGCCCCGCGGTATTACCCTCGGTTTATTAGGGATATTTTACCGCAGTAAAACGTCGCCTATGTATTAATCCAGGATGTCAGCTAACTCCTTACCAAATTTTATTGAAATCGCCCCAGCCGTTTAGACGTGAAGAAGTAACAAACATACACACTCACACACTCACAAACTTTCGCCTTTATAATATATCACTAATCACTAATCACTAACGAATAACTCAGCGGCGCAAGTCTGCTTCAAAAACAACAAAACTTTTACTCCCCATAGTTTTTTTTATGTATCTATCTTATACTAGCTGTGCCCCGCGGTATTACCCTCGGTTAATTAGGGATATTTTACCGCAGTAAAACGTCGCCTATGTGTTAATCCAGGGTGTCAGCTAACTCCTTACCAAATTTTATTGAAATCGCCCCAGCCGTTTAGACGTGAAGAAGTAACAAACATACACACTCACACACTCACAAACTTTCGCCTTTATAATATTAGTGTGATATCCCTTATTGATAACCAAAGAATAAATAAATAACTAGAAAAAAATCCACGCGGACCAGGCAGCAGACGGGACTCGAACCCGCACCCTTCGCTATCCAGGCGAATGCACTGACCAATCAGGGCCGCGGTAGCATAATTTTAATATTAAAAATACTACCAATTCATAAAGGTTGTAGTCGTTCAGCGGTGTGATTTGAGCTATCAATGACATCATAGTCAGGGAGTCAAGAAATTAGTGGAAGTCGTTGAATTTCATTAAAAGTGTTCGACTATGAGAGAATGCTATTAGCATTAAGTCCGCCTTTTGTACCATACTCTTTAATTTTGGTGAGTAAAGTTTAAAAAAAATAAGTGGGATCATTACTGTTTCCTTTGTAAGTTGGATTTGTAAACAAAAATAATGACTTACAATATCTAGTGATAAGCATTCACACTAACCCTATTGTCAAATGTACAAAACATAATAAACACAGCTTGATACTAATTTGTATTTTATGATATTATTCATATCTATACTAATATTATAAAGCTGCAGAGTTTGTTTGTTTGTTTGTTTGAACGCACTAATCTCTGGAACTACTGGTCCGATTTGAATGATTCTTTCAGTTTTGGGTAGTCCATTTATTGAGGCAGGCTATAGGCTATATTTTTTGTGTAAAATTAGAGATCCGTAATAAAATTGCTATTTTTGTAACACAAGGTGTAAAATCGAAAACCTATTTTTGCGTGCGCTGCAAAAACTATTGACAATAGAACAAAATGATGTACTACGGGTTTGTAGATCCCATTAAGACCTACAAAAAAGTCCGCGAGAACATATATTTAGCTATCATGGTTTAATCACAATAACCGATTTTGTGTTCAAAATAATTATTAAATCGTCTGAAGAAAAAAAAACTACGTTAAATATGTATCGTAATATTAAAAACACAAACAACCCTTAATTTTCACCTCTCTACCACCCATATTTTTATGGCGACACGAAGTTCGCTGGGTCAGCTAGTATATATGTATAAAAGGGAATTCCCCACTATTATTTAAAATGTCAAAAACAGTTCATTATGCTATTAGCTATTCTAAGAATTACCAAAGTTGAATAGAACGCAATTTCGTCCACAGCATAATGCAAACACGCATTAATTAGTCAGTAAAGATAACTTACTAATCTGCTTATTATTCAGTGGAATTTTAACAATCAGACAACAATTAATTGATTGTACATTGTTCAATTGTAAAACTCGCCTTATTACAAACATATAAGCTTCAATATATAATTACAATAGGTGAAAAGTCAAATCAGAATTATACAATTATGGATAATATTATAAAGCTTTTATAGCAAACACAACGCATATTATCAACTTTATATTATAAATCAACAAAGTACATTACTTTTAAAATAGAATTTTACGTATAAATAAATATCAAGTTTCAGACAATGATTGTCGCATTTGAGGATAATAAATAGACAAAATGACTTTCCTATTTATCATAATTTAACATAGAATAGGTATTGTAACATTGAAATTATCCTGTTTTCCGATATTTGAGAGTGAATTGTGTTAATTTTCCGTCTTAAATTTCTTGATCTAAACGCAGTCTCAGATATTCCGTTTACCTAATGCATGGACCCAAAGCAACACGGCCGACGCAGCCAGAGGGGAAATAGGTATACATATCATCAATCTTTTAATGTCCCCACTGCTGGGGCACAGGCTTTCACTATGGATGGAATAGGGAGATTGGAACATGGCGCAAAGCGGGCCCAGTGCGGATTGGTGGGTGCTAACGACTGCAGATGCAGCCGGGACCAACGGCTGAACGTGCCTTTCAAAGCACGGAGCAAATAGAGATAGAAGATTTTTGGTCACCCATCCATTGACCGACCACTGCGAAAGTTGCTTAACTTCAACGATCGCAGCCGAACGCGCTAACCACCCACGTCATCCAGCTCCTTGTCGAATCGGGCATACTCATCATATATTGTTTAACTGCATTTATGTATATATCCCCCCCCCTTCCCCCTCCCCCAGTGGCAGAATGATTTAAATAGGATTATGTCGTTATGGTTACTCCCTTCTGTGTTGCTCTAGAGAACACAAAGCCTATCATTGAGCTCTTACCTCATAAGGTGGTTGATCCTGGCAGGCCAGTCGGGTCCATTGGTCTCCCCTTCAGGTGGGTTGAGGCAGAGCGCTTGTGTGATCAGTTCTGAATCCGAGTGCGTGGACAGACCGACTCCCCGACCGAGTACCTACAATAAAGAATAAGCAACCATACAATATACTATTAGACAAGATTTTGAAAACGTTTACATTTTATTTTTAGTGTATACTGGTGTCGATTCTAGCGTGAGTCTCTAAACTTAAAACTAAATTTAACATCAGTCTCTCCTTTTCATTCTGTATAGAAAATGACAGGGATGCACTGTTGTCAAATTTAAGTTTAGCTTTAGAGAATCATGCCAGAATCGACACCATTGACTCCGTAAAAAGTAGATATTGCGTCTATCAGTAAAAAAAAAAGAAAAAATCTATTTTTAAATATGCCGCGAAAACGTTTACCTTGCAAATATGCGTGTTTACAGGCAGGTGATTTCACACGTCCCTCATTAAAACATGAAACAGTACAAATTAATGTCCCTTGACAGCATGTTTACTAGCAGGTGACGTCATTATAGGCTCCACCAATCCTAAGTGTTTTCGGTCACGTGACACAAGATAAAAAAAATACTTTTCTATTTTCAATAATATCATCAACTACTTTTAAGTCAGAATAGTGAAATCGCTGCCAATATCCATTTTTTTCATTTCACACATGCCAATTATTGATACCTTTTTTTTCATACTGTCCAATAGACTGTTACCGTCTTATTATAAAACGTGAAATAAAGTCAAGACTTGTTTCTAACTTATAGTCATAGAGAATGGACCGAGAGACATTCACATGAAATTAACGACCCTGTAGAAAGCAAGAGCAGCCAACACATGTACTACACTTTTATCTCCTAAGATTAGTACAGCTTTAAAGCTCATGCTGAAACGGCGAATCTCACGTATTTAGACGACTTTTATATTCTTTCAAATCTTTGGAAAACTTATAATTCATTTTCTGACGCTACAACAGATGGACACCACAAACTAGTCAGCTGTAAATAAGACCTTATCTCCTAAGCATTAAAGTCTCAACTCACCATTTTCCTGAGGCTACTACAATTGACGAGCTCTCCGTTGTGAGCAACCGCGAGCGCGCCGTGAGCAGTATGCACCACGAACGGTTGACAGTTCACTTCTTCTGAAGCGGCCGATGTCGAATATCTGGGTGGAAGCAAAATACACATATTTTTGAAGTGAAACTTCTTTATCGGCGTTGGAAAAAAATTTACCGTCACATTTTTATTCGGTTACGCGTCACGTTTTTTGGTTACGCGCCATCTTTTTTTTAAAAGAGCACTATTTACCTCATCCGAACAATTGCTTCTTCTGTCAACTTTAAAAAAAAAGTATCGACAGCAAATATTCGTGTTTCACACAAGGTAAGGTAAGGTAAGGTAAGGTAAGGTAAGGTAAGGTAAGGTAAGGTAAGGTAAGGTAAGGTAAGGTAAGGTAAGGTAAGGTAAGGTAAGGTAAGGTAAGGTAAGGTAAGGTAAGGTAAGGTAAGGTAAGGTAAGGTAAGGTAAGGTAAGGTAAGGTAAGGTAAGGTAAGGTAAGGTAAGGTGTAGTTATACCCCTTTAGTGGGTGAGTTTTTGAAAAATCTTAGCGCACGCCTATATATATATTTCTGGAAAGTTGCATGTACATCATTTTTCGAAAAAAATAAGGCCATAAAGAAGTTTTACTTCTTACGTGTGTACACTAGTACACGCACACATTTTTTTTATGTTGCTTATGACAAACGAGCTGGCAGTCCACCTTATGGCTAGTAGTAAAGTAGTGGCTTATGGTAAATAGTCTTAAAATCGCTTAGGGACATCTTCTCTTGCGGACGAACCTAAGGCGCTAAAAGAAGATGTCTTATACCATTTCCGAAATTACTTTAACTAAGTCTTTTAAGAATCTCGCCCTTCCAAACCCGTTTACGCCCTAATTTAAGAACGGCTTTACCGATTTCATCTACCTTTTTCTAAAGTTTTACACAAGGTTCATATCGAGAAAAATAAGTCGCATCGCAGGTGGAAGCTTGTATATAGCTCATAAAATTACAGCATCAGAAGTGGGGCTTCGTCAACTATAGATTCCTGCTTAGATTTTTATATCATTTAATTGTCCTCTAACTATGGGGCCGTTCATAAAATACGTCACGCTAAAATCAGCTTTTTCCGACCCCCTCCCCCCCTATTGTCACGCTGTGTCACACTTTCTGTGACCCCTCTTGAAATATTCCGTCACAAAAACGGAGACCCCCCCCCTCCCCAAAATAAACATGAGTAAATATATCAAGTTACAATTTATTGTAATAAAACTATATACGTTTGAATGTCTATATGTTTACTAAATACGAAATAAATGATTTTCTATCTTGATTAAAATTGAGAAAGAAAAATAGTTGAACGAAATACTAATTTAAAAAATTTTAATGAACGACGAACGTCACGTTGCCGTAGACCCCCCGTCCCCCCTTGCCACATCTTGTCACACTTAGCAAGACCCCTCCCCCCCCCCTTGTATGCGAACGTATTTAATGAACGGCCCCTATGACTATGACCCTTCTATGAAGATCACCAGTGGCCGTGGTAGACGTATATCTAATAGGGGTGATGACGGGGTACAGTAAACGAAATTCTATTAAGCACGTCAGTTAGATGATCAAAAAATAATGGACACGTATTTTTCTTTGTGCAATCAACCAAAAAATGACAAAGTTATAGCGCGTCAAAGTTTGGGAATAGGGGCTCGTGACGTCACTTTTGAGTGAAAATTGTACTTGTTTAATTGTAAAACGTGACGTCATGCGAATTTTCAAATCAATATATCTCTGCAATGTTTATATTATGTGAAAAAAAGAAAAAATACGTGTCCTATACTTTTTGATAATCTACCTGATAAACGAAGAAAAAATAAATAGTCAACATCCCTACAGTGATATTAGTTAGTTTGATGGTTTTACGAATTAAAATAATAACAAAACAACTTACCTAGTGTGTCCAATACCAAGGTTCCCTTTGAGCTTCTTCATGGCTTCGTCATTGAATATATTGTTAATGAGGCCCATGCCCTTGTGCGAGTTGAAGGTCCGTGCACTTTTTCCCTCTGAGGTCACTATACCCGCAGACTCCTGCCCTCTGTTAGAAAAGGTTACCATTAAAACAATAGATAGACCAAAGTTCTTTCCTATTACTAATCTCATCGCCATCAAATGATTATTGATAAGTTAGTTATAGTTCACGGAGGAGAGAAAGTGACCGATTACCAACTAGGGTGTAGTACCCTATTATTTCTATTTATATATCACTTCTTTATTTTTCACTGTCCTCTTCCTACACTGTCTTACTATTCTCCATCTGTAAATGCCGTCCTCTACCCCCTCTTTCCCCACCCACGCCCAACCTGTGCTAGAGCATCTCGAAGCCGACACACGGGCGGCGTGGGAGGTGTAGAATATAAGCTCTTGTATATTAATTTAAGATATATTATTAAAAAAAACTCTTTAAGAACAACACAGGAAAAAAAAACTAGGGTGTAGTTTGAGGCCCGAGGCGCAGCCATCAGTAGGGATAGCACTTTCTTTCTAAGGACAAATAGTTCCTTCGATGAAATAAAAGGCAAATTCTTTGATTCGTCCCGTCTGCTGCCTGGTCCGCATGGTTTTTTTTTTCTTGTACTATTTTCTCTAGATTTAAATATCGAGCAGTTACATGCTTAAAAAATAAAAATTATAGCAAATTCTTTTATTGAAATTTAGATTGAAGTTATATTTATTAGTTAGATAGGGGAAGCCTGGGCCCCAGCAGTGGGGACATTAATAGGCTGGTGATGATGATGAAGTAGCGTATTCATCATGGATGCTAGGTCTCTGCGTTATTTTGACTCCTTAAATTTTACGACACATTGCTTGAAATTGACCATATACCTACTTGATGGATATATTGGCGTCAATTTGGATATAATAACACTATGGCACTTCACTTGGGTATTCGTATTTGCTATTTGTAAACTTGAAATCAGTGTGTAACTTGTAATAACTTCTCTTGGTAAAACAAGATCCGCGATAAGCATTGAAACTTCGATTAAATGTCACAGCGATCTATCAAAAATCAATTTATTGAAATTTCAATACAATGGCAAATCGATCTATCGGATTTTTGGGTTAATTGTCACCGATCAACTGGCATTCGATATGGTGTAGAATACCCCTATGAAAAAGGAGTAGATGATAATCTGATAGCCAAACCGGAACAGACTTGAAAAAATATATTCAAGAAATTACAGTAAAGTTGTGGGGATTAGTTTGATTGGGACGAGCTTCCGACTAAAATTAAATAAGTAACTGAAATAGATGGAATTAGACCTTATACTGTAGCCCCCTTATTAATAAAAAAGGAATATTACTAGAGGAGCTCGATGGCGCAAGTGTTTAGCGCGTTCGGCTGCGATCGTTGAACTTAAGCAACTTTCGTAGTGGTCAGTCATTGGATGGGTGACCAAAAATTACTATCTCGAACTCCTCCGTGCTTCGGAAGGCACGTTAAGCCGTTACTGCATCTGCAGTCGTTAGCACCCGCCCGCGTGGTGGGTCATGGCCCAATCTCCCTATTCCATCCATAGGGAAGGCCTGTGCCCCAGCAGTGGGGATATTAATACGCTGATGATGATGATGATTATTAATAAGCTAAGACTAGTAACGCCGTATAAACATGGTTTATTAATAAGGGGGCAAAATCTAAAGGAAAGTTTTACTAGAAAAAAAAAACACGCGGACCAGGCAGCGGACGGGACTCGAACCCGCACCCTTCGCAATCCGGGCAAATGCACTGACTGATTAAGCTATCACGGCCCTGATGGCCGCGTCGAAATTTTCCTGCCTTAAGCTGCAAGGCAGCGCCATCTCTCTTTTTTCTAGTAAAACTTTCCTTTAGATTTAAACATCTAGCAGTTAAATGCTTAAAAATAAATAAAAACATAAGGGGGTAAAAGTTAAAAGTCCTTAATCCCCATTTACCCGTATTAACTAGCAGTAATAGTATCATCACCTGTGTTGCAACGCCACTAGGCCCAAACATATGACCTGTCCGATGTCCACCTGTGTGGGCCACTCGCCCGTGCCGATCGCGCCGAACACGCCACACTCGTGCGTTAACCCTATGAGAATAAGGCACATAATCATAATCAAAATCATTTATTCAGTTTAAGCTGTTACAAGCACATATGAATGTCTAGAAGCTACGCCATCGGTTCGTAAATCTACGGCGGGAGACCTTGTACTGAGAAGAACCGGCAAGAACCTCAGCAAGGGCTGTTTTATCATTTACAGAGTCGTCAAGTTGAAAAATGACTTCAGAGATGATTCATGAAACCACCTTTCAATACATAATGTGAAATTATACATGAATTGTTCACCTGCATTTTGATTGCCGTGTCACACAGTATAAATAAATATCGTTAGACATGCCTTACAAATAATAAAGCACAATATCGTCACAAGCATACAGTCAGGAACAGGGGAGCAGTCGCCTAACGAGATTGCTATGGCTATTTTTCTTTTGCATTGGTAATAACAATATTAAAGAAAATGAGCGTTAGGTATTTGAAAACCTTCGGCGGTCAAAAATAACAAATAAAATCGTAAGCGATAGCCATATCCATACCAATCCATAGCAAATCCCCAGGTAAGTATTAGATAAGTATAAATAACGACATTTCAAAATTGAACCCTTTATAAACCCTTATAAAACCAAGTAATAAATGCAAATAGTTTCCATTCCAGTATCTTTACTTGTAGTTGTTCTATAATGCTACTTGTTAGCAGTTATAAGTATAGCTTACCAGTTTATCTACTCTTGAGAGCATTTACAACCTTGCGATACTTTTATAGGTCACCCAAGCTGCTATAGTGCACCCTTAATTTCGAGATTTAACTAATAATAAGTTAATGTATAAGATCAGATGTACTACAAAGCCAATCTAACTCCATGCTTACTATTATATGCGTGGCAGTAAAGACTAGAACCGTTATGAGAATATTATAAGTGCTGGAGGCATATAACATCTGCACCATAGGCAGACCCCTCTTTCCCAGTGGGCACTTTGGGCAAGTGCCCAGAGGCCCGCGATCGATAGGGGCCCACCTCAGATCAAATACAAAGTCCCTAGTTACTGTTAGATCACCAAACGGGGGTCATAAGGGCCACATTATCCTAATATGCCCAGGGCCTCCAAAAGGTCAAAGACGCCACTGACCATAGGATAATTTTGCTGCTTGGGCAGTGACCTCTCAGCTTATTTAATACGATTAGTAGTAAATGAGCGAAGGTCGAACGTCAGACTTAGAAATCTGTCTATTAGGGAATCGATACTGATATCGGCTGAGTTCTGATACCCCATTTTTTTTCCCCGTTCCATAAGTAGACGGGTTTTGAAATACTGTATTTGGTTTTACCGTACGAGCCGTATCCATACCATATACCACCATGTTTTTAGATCGTCCACATCCAGGCTGTTTTGGTTTTGGAGTTCGAGTTAAAAGCTCTCGGGATTTTAAAATTGTTCGGGTATTGGTCAGTCGTTAGACCTTATCAGTCGAGATCTTACAAGCTTAATGTTGATATTCAATGTGCCTCTTACCAAACGGTGATGGCTTCCCGTTTATGACGTCATTAATCACAGAGACATCATTGAATATGTGCGTTTTAGTCGACATGATAAGTTCGATTCTTTACTTTCTCAGTGTATCATATTAATTAATATAATTCTATTTTATTTACCAACTGCATGACTAGTAAACATAACATTATTTCAAATTAAGTAAACTGACGGACAGTATCACCACACAGCGTAAAACAGATGATCGATATCCAAGTGACCTCTTGTGGACATTTCATCATCATTGCCGAGATAACAATAATCATTGTATCGGCAATTACACATATATATATCCAGTTTATCTAAACAAAGCGAGACGGGGCACACCACCATCGCGCAATCTTCCTCATATACATAACTTGACTTCTCTCCCAAGCGAACATTTTGATCTCAGAAATAATAACCAATTGATAACTGCTCCAATAGATATAGAATATTGCGAAATCCAAGGTCTCATTGTACCTACCTGCGTCATGTTGCTACTTACATAATGAAATATAATAACCAAAAATGATCAAGCAAATTGATTATTTACAGGCGAAGAGTTTGGTGTAGCATAAGAATGATTTAGATTGCTTGCTTTAGATTTTAATAATCTCCAGTTTACGTTCAATATTGATATTGAACTCAAGAAATTACCAGCGGAAAATACTCCAACTTTGGGTATTATTGAAGAATGTAGAGGGTTTTTTTTATCTTTCCTCGTGTTAAAATATTCGGTTGGTAATTAATTATTATCAATCAAATTTCATTAATAACGAAGGAATATGACCACCATCTACTCACCACTTAGCCATGAATCACAATAATGATGATCTAATCAAATTATTACTTTGTGGTCAATTTAGTATTTTCATGCAAATCAATAACTTAATAATTTCTTGCACCTCTGCGACATTTTAATAATCTACCAGGGTTTTAACATCTAGGTACTTTTTTTTTCAGAGAGTATGTACAGAGAGGTATTCTGGAAGTATTACCTTTATTTATTAAAGAAGATATCCGTGCATACCTGATTCCACCGCACCCCTGCCGTATCTCTTGCTGCGCACCTTCACTTCAGGCTGGGACTTGCTGCATTGGCAACTGTCCTCACAGGCTGCGTCCAAGGAGAGTCTGTCCAAACCGTCGCCACTGGTGGTCGCTTGCCCCACTCGGTCGCATGGAGTTGGCCCGGTCGGACCGTCCATGTTTATCTGGTGGAAAAACTATGAAGATAAGTACAACATGCTCGAGGACCTCGATGGCGCGAGTGGTTAGCTCGTAAATCGGGTTCTACGACCACACCCGGACTCCCGACATTTATTGGGAGTAATATAAGTTATTTACGGGATTGTTACCATGTACCTCGCTAAAAACAAGGTAACAATCCCGTGTATAACTTATCTCTTATCTATTAGACAAGTCCGTCCGTCTGTCTGTGGTGCTGTTTCAGCGGCCAAACCGTAAGAGATAGATAAAGAGAATATTTAAGTTATAAGTTAAGAATAGTCTGATAAGACTACAAACCGGATTTGAGTAACGTAGCACTTCCGGTTTTCGAGAAATCAGGTTTTGGTGAACATTTGGTTCACTGGTTTGCTAGTATTACTATAATGTTAGTGACCATGAAAGTTTAAAACAATATATATATTGGGAGGACTGAGATCCTCAGAATACGTGCCAGGTGACCATTGCAGGAGTATTGTCTGGTTTTTAGGCATTTCCCAGAAAAAAGAAAGTGATTTGCGTATTTGGTTTACAATCATGAAAGTAAAGCTTCCCTCAGGTTGGAGTGGTCTAGAGGCTCCAGACGGAAAGGTAATGCCATCCGCCTGGAATAGCTCAAGAGGCACTCGCCAATTCTCGGCTTGAGGTCCGTTTAGGTTAGGATCTCGCCGACCCTAACCGGGTTTATGGACGCTGAAAATGTCATCTGCGGCCAATAGCATGCACAGTCAAAGAAAGCAGTAAAGCAACTTTCACGATTGTCGGAGTTCTAAGGAATGGAAGGAATGGAAGTAACCAAAAATGTACTATCTCGAACTCCTCCGTGCTCCGGAACGAACATTAAGCTTGGTCGCGGTTGTATCTGCAGTCAATAGCACTCGCCAATCCTGGACCGGATAAGCGTGGTGGGTCATGTCATGACTCAATCTGGCTATTCCATCCACAGGGAAGGCGTGTGCCCTAGCTGTGTGGACATTAATAGACTGATGATAAAGAAGTAAAACATAGTAGAAGGCACATCACAACGGAATTCCAATTGTTCACATTTGGGGAATTCCAGTTTTTAGAAGACTGTCGTTACGCAGACGACATAGTCTGCATTCAGTAATATTATCAGACTTCCATTGGGTAAAAGAGATGGAGTAAGGTCAGGTTGAGGAGGCAATATTGAATGCATTATTATGATATCGCTCGCTAGCGTCTCAGCTATAAGGTCTGGTCGTGGCTGCTTATCATCGCTGGGGCCGATGGTTTTACATAATTTCTCTTTGAAAATATCACTTGATCTTGAAATTCAGTAATTCTCAGATCGGTGATATAACATAAAATAATAATGCTGCTTGAATAAAGTATGACTCGTAGGCGTAAATGAAAGAAAATACAGTTATTTAACGAACACTTTCCCTCCGCACGAATATCCCCAGGAGATACAATATCTGCTCGTAGAATTATTTATCGATATGCCTCAATTCATTCATAATTCAAATTATTAACACTAATGCTTTCCAATAAGAAGGAAGGTTACAAAATGGTTGAATATCACATTTTATTGTTTTCCTAATTTATCCATTTGGTATGATACCGTGACAACGTTGGATTCATTGCGTGATTATATTATATGCTTTCGAATTCTTGGATTGCAATATAATCGTAATAATCAAACAAAAGCGCCGTTTCTAATTGACATTCAAAAACAGCTAGAAAACCATCAAAATATCCAGAACAAATTAATTGTGAAAAACGCTTGCATTAAGGTTCCAGGAAGCAAATCACAGGACGTAAGAAGCATCTTTAGTGTATACTAAGAGGCCTAACACATTAGTCCAGTTGAGATTATAAAGGATGCGGTAGTGGCGTACGCACTAGCCATCATTGAAATCCTAACTTATGAAAAAATAACAGGTTAAAATGTGTATATACGCGACAATAATATACTATTACAAACATACTTGAACGAATAATCCTGATGCAACCACTGATAGAATTACCGATAACACAACTGTACACAAACAAGTGAAAGGGTCAACTCTACCGCTAAGACACGCACGACTCAATCTGGAAATACAACGACGTAGACTAACGAGATACGCAAACTCCTTAACTTTATAAACTACGTCGGTCGACGCGAGAACTTTTTAATGCCAATAACATCACAATCGACCGATAAAGGAACAAAACATGAGCTAGATTCATACAGTCCCAATAACATCATCCAACAAAATAACAAATATACACTATTGTTATACGAATCTAAACTTTATTAGGCGAACGTCAATGATTTTTATTGTGCTCGATTAGGTGTGTCATCTTAAAATCTCTGACGTCAGGGGAATGATGGAATAACAGTAGTTAATTAAAACATAAACTACTGACGACACTGCTGGCTTTCTGGAATGGAGATAACGGGTGCCAAGATAGACGGATTGTCAGCGACCCGTCTTGTAAATGTTGTTTCCATGCGGTAGTCACTGGAACGCGCGTGTTAAGTTTTCCTCATATTTTGGGATTATTAATTAATTGAAAGTCAAACGAACTTACATGTAAGTGACGTTCGACTGATATTATACGATGTGATTCGCCCGAGAGATTACACTTTATTCACTTGTAGTAGCACGCATTATGTGCTGCCATCGTACACGTGAATTAGTGTAATCTCGAAGGGCGAATCACAGAAGTATAATTGAAAGTCAAACGAACTTATCTGTAAGTGACGTTCGACTGATATTATACGATGTGATTCGCCCGAGAGATTACACTAATTCACGTGTACAATGGCAGCACATAATGCGTGCTACTACAATTGAATTAAGTGTAAACTCGAAGGGCGAATCACAGAAGTATAATAAGTTATCCATCACCGCAAAAGTTAAAAGTGATATAAGAAATTCAGATACTTATTTATTAATTGTCATGTAGCCTTTCAATTTTCATTCATATAAACAGTGTATGGCGACAGAAATGTATTAGGATTTTTTTTTGACATTTAGATTTCTACAAGTCCTTCAGGTATTAAAAGCGCTACGTTATATTACAAATACACTTCGTCTAGACCATACAGGATGTCAGGATAAATACTTATTAAAATATTGGAATAGGTAGAAAGATAGTGTTTGGTAAAAAGGAAAATAAGCGCACTTACATAAATCAACAATCAATAACCAATCAATCAATATTGTAAGCACGATCATAGACCGCGCCCACCACGCGGTTGGACTTCCTATGACGTGTTAGTCCAGCGATAACGCTCACACTTCTAACCCACTTTCGACATACCCAACAGCAAGTAAAGGGTCGAGTCTGGTCGAGTCAACCAACTCGTCCGAGTTAAAGCTATCGCAGAAACAATTGACAAACGACAAATAATATTGTTACCGCAAAGATAGAAGAGTGTAAACAATGGCAATTCAAGCGCAGTGTGGCATCATCGGGTCATCTCCGATAGGGGAGCCGCTGGGGGCACGTTATATACACGTTATTATCAGCTGACACCAGCGTACATTTCCACGAGGGTACAAACAACCCGATAGCGACTGGAAAATAATGCGGCAAAGTTATATTGTTTTCTGATAAATGGATGGGTTATAATTAGACATATCTTATGCTGCGTTTCCAATTAAGTTCAGAACAGGTCTGTACCCTTAGCACGAACCAATATCGAATTCGTAACGTTTGCGAGTCCGAAATGTCAAATGTTTACGGATTTTTAGTTCTCGTTACGTATTTTGTGGAGCGGGTGTTGTGTCAAATTTTGTATGGAAACTTGAACAGCAGCGGCACCGTACACATTTGACAATGACATTTCGGACTCGCAAACGATACGAATTCGATCTTGGTTCGTGCTAAAGGTACTGAACTATCAAACATTACTCACTCGGTAAATGGAAGCATCAGAGAAAGCGAACGAATACGTACAACGAATTTTGACTGGACTTAGGAAACGAATGCTCTCTTGTACCGAACGAACAAACGTTTGCTCGCTCGGAACATTTCTGAAGCCCAAGAACGAATATCGTCAGCTCCCCGTAATCTTATCGCATCGTCAGTTTCTATAAAAACTAAGCAACGTCCCTAGCGGACATAAAAACAAACTAGCTTTTTCATACAAAATTTGACGATGTCGATACGATTACGAAGATGACAAAATTCCTGCTTTGACCTCTGCGCACTAGGTGTAAACGCGGCATTAGAGTACATTTACGTACATATAAACATACGTACCTACCAAGTATTACGTTTGTTGTTTTGATATGATGCAACTTTGATGATTACAAAGAATATTTTGTTTGAGTAATGTTTGGGAGTAACGAAAGCAATCAAAACATTGTCCACAAAAAAAAACATAGGATCGCGTTTTGTTTTCTCGAAAGTATTTCGAAACTTTTGAAGTTCTACATGTTTTTGAAGTGAAAACTTCTTTAGTATTGTTGTGACTTGAGTTTCGATGAAACGGAAATAGTATTTGACACAAGAAAGGTATCCGTAATTTAATCACTGATTCAAAGAGACAGATAGCTCAACGCCATTGGTCTCTTAGGGTGGTTAATTTTCTAATTTTTGTTTATTATCTAAATAAAGCTTTTATTTATTTTTGGAAATAATTTCAGCGTAGAAAATTTAATTTTAGACAGTATTTTACAATTCCTGAATAGTTAAGTTGTCATTTGGTAGATGCCTAACTTTTTTTTTATAGATAGATCCGACAAATGACTCCACCCCACCTTATGTTAAGTGGCGGTGAAGTCCAGACGCGAAGATATCTGATACAGCAGTTCTACTTGCCACCAGCCATCCTCACCCTGCCGGCCTGCATGTTGCTTCTTCACGTCTCTTTTAAAGGATCCCAGGTTGTAAGAGGGAGGGAACACGTGAGCGGGCAGAGCATTCCATTTACGGATAGTGCGACAAAGAAATGAGTCACCAAATTTTGTTTGTACGCGTTGGAATTGAGGCCACAGTTAGTCGGTGGCAACGTAGGCCAGCGCGCGTGGTCCTCTGAAGGAAAGGGGAAGGTGGAATAAAATAGAATAACTCCTCAGAACACTCGCCGTGGTACAGACGATAGAACGCGCTTAGTGACGGTGTAATTGAAGAGGATCGAGGTGTTTAGTCATCTCCTCATCGCCTATGATGCGGATCGCGCGCCGCTGTAACCTATCCAAAGCATCGAGCAAGTACTTGGCGGAGCCATCCCAGAGGTGCAAGCAATATTCCTATACAACAAACGTGATTTATTTGCCGTTTTGTGCTCTATATTAATAACGGCAAATTGAAATATTCACACACTATTAAGTTGTATATTGTCTTTAAAACTAAAATAAATATTTAAGAAAGGCTCCCATAGAACAGACGTGACTTAATGCCGTTTTTTCTGAATATTATAATATAGTGTCTAATGTTTTATAAATAATAGTACGGAATCCTTAGTGCGCGAGTCCGACGCGCAGTTTGCCGGTTGTTGTTAAAATAAAAATGTTGTTACAGTAATTTTTAGTAAATAAATTTTCGAAAAAAAAACTAAGATAAAGTAATAAAATATAGGTAGGTAGGTACATAACCCAAGATAAAATAAAAATAGTTGGTAACAGATAGATCCGCCAAATTGGTTGGTAAAATTCTATTTAAACATGAAGAGGGAAGGCCTGAGCTCAAGCACGAACTTTGACAGCTCCGCAATCGTGTCGCTTCATGAAATTTTCTATAAAAACTTAAAAACTAAGCAGCGACTCTACCGGAAGTGAGAACAAACTGTACCCCTAGCCCGAACCATTATCGAATTCGAATAGTTTTCAAACCGAAATATCAATGTCAAATTTTGTATGGAAACTTGAACAGCAGCACCAAAAAGTACGTAACGAAAACTAAAAATCAGTACACATTTGACAATGACATTACACACTCGCAATCTTCGAAATCGATATTGGTTCGTGCTAAGAGTTCGTGCTGTTGTTCAAGTTTCCATATAAAATTTGACATTAACACTTCGCATTAGCAAACTATCTATTCGAATTCGATTCGATATTGGGTCGTACTAAAGGTACTAGGCTCCTTCCGTACAAAATTTGACGATGACGATACGATAATTGATCAGTCAAAGTTCTTGCTCAACTGTGATTGGCTGACTTATCAACGCACAGCCTAAGTCATTGGACCTAGAGAGTTGAAGTTTAACGCAGGTGTTGTGTTTAAGACGTAAATATCTGGTCACGAAGGACTTGTACATGTTCACATTTTTGTAGGTTTCACTTCTATCGCATGTGAACAGCACATGTCCGTTTTTTATGAGTCGTCAATACATTATTCTGTTATAATACGATAACTTTTTGAATACAATGTTATGACCTATGGCCTATAAATTCGACGTACTGATTTTCTTAATATAAATATTCTTTACAACTTTTAAAATGAGTAATAACTGTTAACGCATCATTAAAAAGTTCTGCCTGCACCGGAACGTCGCTCCATTTCGGCCAGTAAAACAGCTTTGACACATAGAGGTATAAGATTAGAGTAGGGGAGATAATATGTGCTCTACTACAAGTGGAAGTTTCCGTCTAGTAGAAAGAGAAAGAAGATGAGAGACTCCTAGCTATCTCTCTCTCTTGTGACGCTGCGCAGTCGTGTGATTAGTCGGTATTGCTGCGCAGTCGTGTGATTGGTCGGTATTCATCCGTAGGTTTTTCATCCAATGCGCATTCGCGATTAGAGAGAGAAAGCTAGCAGTCTCTCATCTCCTTTCTCTTTCTACTAGGCGGACAGTTTTAGAGCCGCCTTCCCCACTCTATTCTTATACCACTATGTTTGACACACGTGATCAAAAAACCCCCTCTACACTTTTCACTCTCTACTCAATTCAAATTTTGTACGCTTAACTTTCTTTCGCAATATTTTTACATTTATTTATTTTGTAATTATATTCGCAATATACGCATTATTTAAGAAACAACGGAGCATTATTGAAGAGTACGCATAACGCCGAAACAATAACATTCCATTTCTTTGTAATAAAGTCACCTAAATGCAGTTTTATTTAATTAATATTGATACCAAAAATTACATTGAACGGCAAGATTAGTAAATCACCAGACGAAAATACAGTCGTAAGGAAAATTTATGGAACCACCGTTTGCATACCGTAACCCTGACTAAACAAATTACGAAACGTGTCGTGGTATCAGATTAATTATTAGGTTTCACTACGTAGGTAGGTGTAGCAACTTCGACA